TCTCATCATCAGAGGCACTGGGCGAGGGGGTGACGAGAAAGAAAGGGGTCGCCCAGTAAACTACTGGGGGGGGGCCGCTGGGAAGAGGGCCGGCGCCCAGCTGCTGTCTTTGTTCAGTTGGGTTCAGTTTGTTTGTTGTTTGTTGGGGTTTTGTTTTTTAGTTTTTGTTTTCCGAGCGGGGGACCCGCGTGAGAATGAGTTGCCCACGGGTTTCGTGACCTGGTGGTGGGACTCCTTAGGAGAGACCCATCCGAACGCGCGTCCCCGCACACAGCAGGCGTTGGCGGTGGCGAGGCCGCACGTGGTGGGAGAAGGTGTGGAGGAATGGGTCCCGTCTGGAGCGCGGATTTGCACTTTGTTGTGAGCAAGTGTGCGAGGGGCTGCGGCTGGGAAGGGGGACCCTCCCTCCCGCAAAGCCCTCCTCGCTCCCCGTCCTCGGCTGTTTTTGTGGCTGGAGCTAGTTTGGGTCTGGGACCCGCCGCCCCCTCTCGTCCCCACCCCCACCGCGGCCGCCCCAGGCTTTTCTTCCCTCCCGGGCCCCTTCCGCGGCGGTGCTCGGGGTTCTCTAGGTGTTTCTATGACTACATTGTGTGTGTGGGAGGGTCAGATGTGGGGGTTGCCCGCGAGAGGGCCGTTCCTGGGCGATCATTTATCAATGTCACCCACATAATGATTCTCTCTGCAGCCTCCTATTGATGAGGATAATTACATTAGCTCAGAGTGACTGATCAATGAAAAACCACCACACAAAAACTTCTTTACTCCTCTATAATACCAAAAACCGATACAGAAATAACATAGAAAGCCTGATTTTTCTTTCCCTTCCCTATCCACCAATGGATTCTACCCCCCAACCCCAAAGGACGTGGGAGTAAAGTAAGAAAATAGACCCAGGTTTGTTTCCTTTCAAGGAGGATGCAATTTTGCCCGTGAATGCATTTTCTTAAATGTGTTGGCTTCGTTCCTTCTTTGGTAAAGAATATCAACGGATTGGCTAATGTGAGTTGCTTTTACACTGGTCTGTGGTTTTCCTTTCTTTCTATTTCTTTCTTCCCCTTTGGGCATTTTTTCCCTGAAAATAAAAAAGACAATTCTTTTTTAAATAACTCGAAAGGGAAATTAATCTAGGTCCTCTCTCTCTTTTCTTTCCTTTATTTTCTTTATTATCTCTTTTTTTGGGTAAAGTGTTTGTCTAAGTCGGGTTATCTTTTGTCTTTATCACTTCATAAAGTAGCACGATTAAAGATGTGATGTTGCATGGGTGTGAAGGGAGGATCCATAATATGGAGACATAATACGCTATATTCTCGCCTGCAAGTTCGCACCTAAATTATGTTTTCGCTTTTTCTAGACCTCAAAAATCAATATTTTCTCAATTAAAGAGAATTTTAATGCTTTACTTGCGAGTTGTTAAAGGCACTGTAAATTTTATTGTACTGCTCCTTGGCTTCCTTGGCTTCCTTGGCTTCGGAGTAGATGCAGGAGACCGGTTGGTTCTCGTGGTCTTTTCCTCTCCTGGGAACATCAGTGTGTCAGATCAAATGCAAGCAACAAAGGTAAGGCGGGTTCCCAGAGGGATGGAGCCAAGGGTGGGGAGCCTGTCAGGCAGCCCTCCAGTGCCAGAGGCCATTGTCTTAAATATTTCACCTCTCTGTGTCCCACCTCCTCAAAGTGACAGAGTGTTCGTTTTACCCTAATATTTCTCCAAGAGGAGCAGTTCCACTCCCATGTACTTCGTGATAGTCAGAAAAGAAGCTGCATTTGGGGAGCCTTCTAAACTCTTCCCAGTGCCCCCTTTTCTCTTTCCTTCTGTTATTTTGCCAAAATGTAATTCTTAACTGGTTCTTTCACAAATTCTGCCATATTTTATGTGTTCTGGTCTCTATGTCAGAACTCACTCCCCACCTTCAAGAGCACTCACTGTTTACAGATGTTTTCTCCTTCCACACATTCCACGTAGTAAAAGTTCCTGCAGAGAATTAGCTGTGGTGTGTTAATAGCCAGGTCTGCTACTGCTCTCTCCTGCAAATTTGAAGTCTGGTAAGGTGGAGAAGGGCACTGAACCAATATTGGAGAGCGTTCTCCAGGCCCCAAGAAACCCAAAGACTTGAGAATTCCAGGCCCAGGGACTTGGTGGGAAGCAAGGTAGTGAAACTTTCAAAATGTAAGGCAGAGAAAAGAATAAAGAAAATGAGGCTAGAGTAGAACCTAATAAGAGAAGAATAGAGCTAGGCAGGAAAAAAAAGAGCTTTGGGGGCCTCTTTGTAATTTAAAAAGAAATAATAATGAAGGGGAACTGAATATCTAAGACTTGCTGTTAATTTCTTCTTTTTTTATACCCAGTGTCTGTTTAAGAACAAGTCCTCAGAGATGCCAGGAAGGGCCTGAGTTTCCAAATGGAATACACACTCACAAAGTTCCTTTGCAGTTTCCTCTTCAGTTAATTTGCTGGGAATGAGAAGACCAGGGAAAGGGCTATGTGTGTGGTGTACCAAGGGCTTATGTAAGAGTCTGATGGGCAGGGGCACCTGTATATAATGAGGCCGCTGGAATAAGCTGAATAAGAGGAGGCACAGAGAAAAAGCCACACAACGCCACAATGCATTCCAAAGTAATTCTCACCTATCTGCCTTTCTCTTTCACTTCAGCCACACACTCTATCAAACATTACACATAGGTGGGGGAAATTTCTAGTTCATCGTCTTTTGTCTGTAGACCCACCGGATTGATCTCCCTTCCCTTAGAGCTCTGACATGTAAGCCTAGACCATGGCCTTTTTATCAAGTGAGTGGGGCTTTGTTAATGTATTTGTACTTTTCTGCTTTCAGTCTAACTAAGTTTCTTGCTTTGGAGGAAGGAGGGGTGCAAGAAAGGAGGGGGAGGGGAGCTTAACACAAAGACTTTAGTTCTCACCAAGCAGGTTTCAAAATAGGAACTTAATGGGAAGAAAAAGGAAAGAGTGCAAAAAATAAAGGGGGTTGGTGGTGAGAACTGTTTATCACAACAGGTTTTCTTGACTGGAAGAGAGGTAATTCTGTGAATATTTTTCCCTTTGGGGATTCTGTTTTCTTCATATTGAAACATTTTCAAATTTTAATCTTTTAGCAGACAAAACCTCAATATAAATATGACATGGGCCACTGGCAAAAAACACGAACTTAAACTCTGCTAAGGAGGGGGTGGTGTGGGGAGGAGAGAGCCCTTTCTGATTAATAACTAGCAGGGTAATGTTGAGGGCTTTTTCTGCCCGATTGCCTTTTTGAATTAGAGCCGATTTCTTCACACTTCAATAGTGCCTGTCTCCTTTAAAATGACTGGCAGATTTGTTTCTCTTTTTTCTCTCCCTGAGACTTAATGATGTAAATTTTCTAATTAGTTAAATCATATTGCTTAAAGGCCTAATATTTGTCCTGTAAGAAATGATCATCCTGATTTGGACCTCTTGAAATATTCTGAGAAATAACACTTGGCTTTTAGGTTGAGGGATGAGAGAGGATGAAGCTCTATTACGGGAAGCCCTTTGGAGGAGAGAAAGCGCGGACTCCGGCAACATGTTAAATTAATAGTTGAAGTTGAGCCGGGCTCACACCCCAAGTCCGCTTTTATTTTTCAATCAGCAAAGATTTAATTGGCAGCCCTCAGGCCTGGAGATCTGATATTTTCTCATTAGTTTCTCATCACTAATCTTGAGTGTTAGATTGGCTTAAAGGTTGTCAACATTTGACCAATTTTATTTAAGGGAAAAAAAGTCACTATGTTATGGCTCCGGGATGTGAGATCTGCAAATAAATCCTGCTTGGATCAGCGGAACTAACAGGCGAAAAAAATGTTGACTATTCATCGTCGCGTTTAATAAGTTGCATTAATGTATATTTCAAGGCTAGGAAGAGAGATCATACTTGTGCTGCCTACATGCAGATGAAACGAGGTTGATGAGAAGGCGAAGGCGGGTGTACTGTAAGCAGGGTGATTAGGTAAAGTGAGATGTAGGTATATTTCGAACGGAGGGTAAATAACCCAAGAGGAACGGCTGTTGAGGATTTAGGTCTTTTAGGAGCTGCAATTCCCCCTCCTTTTGCAGCTGCGTGAAACTGCGAGCCTGTCTTGCAGCTCTGAGCGACTTGGCTGTCTTGTCCAGAGATAACATCAGAGCGCCCCCTGCTGGCCAGTAGAGCAGAATGTTGCGGGTCAGCGCCCCCCCCCCACCCCCGCCCGCCGGGAAGCAAATCGTGCTTTTCTGTGCTCTCCACCCCCCACCCACAGACTCCTTCCACTGCCCCCACCTCCGTTCTGCAGCAAAACCGCGCCGCAGGGGGATAGCACGTCAAGGCTGAACATTTAAATGAGTAAATGATAAAAATAATAATAAAATACGAAGGAACCCCCACTTTCACTTGGCCTCCGGGGAATAAACTATCAAATGATTACCAAAGGGACACATTTTCTTTTTTCTAAACCTCTTTATTCTTCTGAGTTTTTGCTGTGGGTTGTTTGTTTCTGCCGAACTGTAGCTTCTGAGTCCAAAGAAATGTTTTTAATAGATCCTGTAGAAGATTTTTTTAATGGGTATCTCATGGGGAAGGAGGCCAATATAAAACAATGTATTGCAGCCTCGCAAAATTCAACACCCAGGAAACTGGCACTATTTCAGTAAAGTCCCCAGGAATCACTTTAGGAATTCAGACAGTTCCTTGTCTTGAATGACCCTTTCTTGCAAGGCAAAAAAAAAATACCGGCTCCTGTACGATCTTGTTTATTTCAAAATAAAGAACGTGTTTAAAAGTTGTCACAGTCCTATCTACCTACCTACACACACAACATGTCCTTTCCCTGCGTGCCCTGTTCCTTCCTCAGTGCTTCTCAGTTTTGCTGGAAACGGAGAGGCTAGCTGGAGCGCTCCAAAATAACCCTCCAGTGTCTCCGACGCTTGATCTTACACTGATGCTTCACGTCAAATGTAAGGTGTGAGACTGGTCCTACTTTAGAATGTACGGGTTGTTTTCCAACTGTCTGGGTGCACAGATGCGTTTTCTCGGCTCTCTGGTGACTCTGCCCGGGACTTCTGACCACCCCGACTCCAGGGCGCCCAGGTGGCGAGAGCCGGGGCCATCCCGGGCCAGGGACCCGCCGGCTCCACCGCCTGCCTCTGCTCCTGGGAAAGGCGCTGCCACGGCAGCCCTGGCTCAGGAAAGTCTTCGGACCGCAGCCAGACCCCCTGCAAAGCATGCAAATCTGCGGTGCGAAACTTTAGTTTGCGGGGAGTTTGGGGGCTTTGATTTTTAAGGTGCGGGATTGCGGGACTTGGTGGAAACAGCCCTGAGAAATGAGGCGCGGGGGAAGGAACACCGGGCGGGGAGAACGGCAGGGGAAAGGTGGGTCTCTTGACAGTCCCTTTCTTGCCAGAGTACCGGGACGTGCTAGTTTCAACATTCGTTCTCCTCCCTCGCTTCTTCCTAGAAACCCCCGCCCGCACGCGCGTCACGCCTTCTCCAGCCCTCCGCCTCGGGGACTCCAGGGCCCGGCCGCGGCCCGAGACTTCGGGGAACGGCGCTGCGGGGGCACCGAGGAGGCAGCCAGGTCTCCACGCTAGAGGGGTGATGCCTCAGTCAGGATGTGTCTGAAGAATTGCTGGGGCGATTGTGTCAGCTGAGGTAAAGTTAAATATTTATACTCCAAGTTGTTGTCATTCTTTTTTGGTCTGTTTTGAAGAAGTTCAGTGTATTCAGACTCAGTTTAAAATCCTGGTCTGGGGTGAAGCAGGATCCGCCGCCTGCCACTGGAGTTGATTTTTTGAAGGGTCTTCATTTAGCTCAGCAGTGGAGGGGAAGTTAGTTACCTGCAAACAGTAGTGGTGCATATATGTGTGTAAATACATGTGTGTAGTGTGTATATATCTAAAAACGCATTCCACTGACATATCTATGATAAAGAAGAGGGGGCAAGTGTCCCGGTTGCAACTGCATCCAAATAAAATTTCCAGTAAGATACTCTCACAGATGAAGAAAATATGAAAATCTCATTTCATTTGTCTCAGTTCGACTTAATGAAATTTGGAGACGTCGACAGTCTGGTCAATGTTCTAAGTAAATTAATGCAAAGGTCCTTAGGAAGAGACTGAAACACCTCTTGCCATTAATCTTAAAGCACTTGAAGAGTATGATTAAAAGAATGGGATCACTAAGCATTATCATCTCAAATAGCTGTTAACTGTCTCCACCCCTTTATTGTGGCAACAAAATAAACTCTGCAGTAGGAATGATATTTCTTTCTCTTTATCTTTGTTTTTGTTTTGCTTTAAGGGCAAAGAAGGGAAAACAGAAGCAAAGAAAACCACCTCAAAAGTCTCGTGTTTGCTGTTGTTAAAAGGCTGTTTCTTCATTTCTGATTTCCTTATCTTTCACTACAAAGAAAAAACTCAAAAGATGTGTCTACATTGGATGAGAAGAAAACACTAACAATAACAGTGAAGGTGCATTTGTTTTATTTCTTTTCCCTGAAAAAAAAATTTTAATACCCACCAATTTAGTGAAGTCGAAAGCTGTGAACAGGTAAAAGAGGTTCCCTTGTCCGCGTCTATTTGTTGACTTTCATCACTTGCATTTGGTATGCTTTTGTGTCAAACAGAAATTATGGAAAAGAGAAATAGGTATTTGCCAAGAAACGACGTTACACTTTCCAGCAGACTCCACCTGATTCTGCATTTGAGTGCTGGGAGGCGTGCGCGCGCGTGCCGTTTTCCCCTCAGAAACCCCAAAGCCTTCATTAGACGTGGACAAAGAGGGGTGAGAACCCTATTACTGAGCATTCTGAGAAAAATAGAAGCAGTGCCCCTCTGCTCCTAGGACCCTAGAAAGGACACCCTGAAAAAGGGCACAAATCAGTGTATTTTCCTTAAGAGCCCTGAGTTGGGCAGACCTTTCAGAGAAATACACAGTAATTAACATGGCAAAAAGCAAAATGCTGAAACGAAGGACGGTGGCCAACAAAAAAATAAAATAAAGCATGCTAAAAATTATTCTTCAAACCCTGCAAATTTCCAGATGCCACAGAAAATCATTGCAAACGCGCTCCCTCCTAACTGAGCAGACAGCTCTCCAGCCGGGTGATGTTTCCACTCCCAAGTGGAGTGGGAGCTCCCACCTCCGCTGGAGCGGCAGGAGTTGTTACCCTGAGGCCATCGGGAGCGGAGGTAGGGGTGTCACCCTCCCCCCCACCCCCCAACCCCCAACCCACAACTCCCACCTGTTCCCTTCTCCTCTAGCGGAGGCACCAGAGAAGCTGGGAGGATCAGCCCGGGGTCCGGGTACAGCTAGCTGAGGCTCCTACCAAACCAGGGAGGAAACCTAAATAAGCCCCCGGAGGCCGAAGATCCGGCCAAAGGAACGTAGATTCTGGGTCCGAGTTACACGCCACAGCCTGCCCAGTCCCGTGGCCAGGCTCCCTTGCCCTGGTGGACAAAAGGCTCTTAGACCAAGCGGGTCTAGGAGTGAGTGCAAAAGGCAATGGAGGGGGAGAGTTCCGCCCCGCCCCCCGCGCCCGTTGTGTGTCTGTGTGTGTGTGAAACACGTGCACTTGGAGCAGGCCTCTGCCGCACGCGTCAGCTGGGGGAAGTTCACCCACGCGGCTTCCTGGGTCCTGAACCCACACTTTTCCCTATCCCGGCCCCCCCCCACCCCGCTCCGCTCCAGACACCCAACCCCTCCCCGAATCCCCGACCACGCCTGCACAGGTGTGGGGCCTTTGACTAGAAAGTGCCAGAAGAAAGATACCCTGGAGGAAAGGCGGAGCGGGCAGGGGGAGGGGGTTTAGGGGCTGGGAAGAAAGATGGTACTTCCAGAACTCAGACATTCCTATCTTCCTGTAATTGTCATCACACTCAATCTTTCCACCAAGACCCACGTTATCCAGAAAGCAGAGATTGATTCGCGGGAAAATCGTGCTTACGGAAACGTCTGGGTTTGACGCGGGAGGGCTCTTGAGACCTGCGCAGGCTTTGCTTAGATTCAAAAGTATGATTTTAATTTTCTTAATGAAGGCGCTCTCTAGAGCTCAGCTGGTAATGGCTGTGCTGAGTTTAATAGACTTCTGTCGAACAGAAAAAGACGGATAACTATCGGTTTTAAGTAATCTGCTCTAATGCAATTATTTTCCGAGGTTCGAATGTCATTGTGTGGAGAGGACAGCGGTGAATTAGGGCCCCGGTACCGGGACAAGGAGACGGCCTGAAATACCAGCCCAACTTGTTTTGTGAGGTGCACTTGGGTTTGGGGGTCGGGGTTGAAGGCTTCAGAGCCCTTTCTTGGTCTGCACTTGTGAAAACCTCTCCCTTTCTTCCTCCCTGTCTTCCTCTCCTCCTCTCTCCTCTTCTTGTTCCTTCCTCCTCCTCTCTCCATTTCTTTTCTCTCCCTGCTCTTCCCCTTTCTTCTCAGCTCTCCCAGATTTGATGTGAATTTTCTTTCCCTTTCCTATATTTTGCTTGTCTTTGTGTTTTGCAGGAGAATCCATTACTTTAGTCCAAAGTATTTCTCCAAAACAGAGAGAAGTAGGCTCTTGGGATGTGTCAACCAACTCACCTTTTGAATCCAATAAAATTGGGAGATTTAAGATAACTGATGGCGTTGTGTATACACACATAGTCAATGCACCAGGAGGGTTATTTCTGTCTAAATACAGAGCCAGTCCAGGTCACTGTCCAAAACCAGCCCCAGTCTTAGCTCTGACACCAATTGTCATTACTGGTAGTTTTTATCTGAAATTATCAGAACTCTTCTTAGCTCTCTGCTTCCCTTTGCCTGGTAAACACAATCTCAGGCAAACATTTTATTTATTTTTAAAAATAAAAACACGATTGATAATTTCCCTTCTGTCAGCAAACAAACCAAATCCGTGCAAGGAAAGGCTTGTATCTCACCTAGAAGAAGGATTTGAAAACAGGCAGGCAGGCAGGCAAGGTAGGGCTGCAGGCCACAGAGCTGAGCCCCGGGTGAGAGCAGGGCACCCCGAAGCCCAGCTCTCCGGCCTGAACCTCTCTGCCCACGGCCATTCCCAGCCTCACTTTCCCTGCTCCCCTCTCTCTCCGAATTCTTGGGACTGACGCACAGACAGGGGTTCAGTAAACCCTGAGTTACAGGTTTCTGTTCCAGACCCTGGACATGCAGAAAGGGTAGCTGGATCTGGTGTGTTTCTGACTTCAATTCGACAGACCTACTCGGCCTCCAGTTCTCAGCCTTGTACACCCTTTCTCTCCCTCTCTCCCTCTCCCCATCTCCCACCCCCCCCCCCCGCCCTTCTTTCTCACACACACCCACGTGCACAGAGCGCATCCACAAAGCTCTGGACTATCTCCTCTTCCCTGACTCAGTCCTACACCCCCTCTCGTCTCTCTCTGCAGCGTCTCACGTTTTGAGAAAATAAAAAGAACATTAAAAACAAAACAAAAACCTTTGGCAAACCCCCTCAGGTCCCCTTGGCTAAGGAAAAGCACAGCTTGGGGTGCAGCTGGAGCGAGTCTCCTTGCTGCTCTGGGACCAGCGGACACCCCTCTTGGAGGGTGAGGCTGGGTGAGGTGGGGAGCGGGGGGCGCTTTCCACTTTCCTCTCCCCGTGCTGCTGGAAATAAAGTCGGGACAAGAGCCAGTCCTCGGACCCCAAAGACTCCCAGGACTTGAAGAAGCCACGCAGGGCAGGCACCTCCTGGGCGCCGCGAGGTGACGGCCTGGGGTCCCACTCTGGGAACGAGGAAGTCTGCTCCCAGAAGAGCCGCGCTGGAACTTCTTCAAGCACTCAGCCTCCAGCGCCCGTTGATGGTGGAGAAGGCCACTATGGAGCGCCCAGGCCCAGCCTGCCCCAGCAGCCGCTGAGTGAGTTCTGACTTTGGGTGCTACCAGGCAGGGAAGAACGGCCCCTGGCTCAAAGAGCAGATTTGGAATGGGAGAAGGGGTGACTGCCAGAACCCCTCTCTTCATCCCCTCCCTCCCTCTCTCTCTTTCTCTTGGATGAAGTCCCAGTGTCATCCCTTCAGCGGCTCTCTGCAGGGAAACTGCTGTGTTGTGTGGTTTTGGTGACTTAGGAGAGCAACAGCAAAGACCCAGAAAGCCTCCAGGAGGTTTAGATGTATCAAATCCTGCTTTTGAAGAGTTGGTGGGAGAGGAGAGGAAAAAGATCCTGTTACCCAACAGTGAGTTTTCCAAGCTTCCTCCTCAGTCAAGTAAGGTTAAGAAAGGTTTGGTAAAAAGTAGAAAAAACAAAAAACCCAACAATTACCCACCATAGTCCCCAGGAAGGAACCTGGACAGAATAAGAATCACAACTCCTAACCTAGCTGGGAGCTCTTTGCAAAGATGTCCTGGACTCCCAGCCTGTGCCACTCGTCCAGGTGTGCCACTTGTCCGGGGGGCCACTTGTCTGGGGGCCACTCTGCAGGCTCTCAGCCCACTGTCACCCCTGAAGCACCTGACCAGATTAGGTCTGAGGACACACAAGGAGGCCAAACAGTTAAGTTTACTTCTCCCTCACTTACTATTTTAAAAGTCAACAGAGGAAACCATAAATTTTTTTCAGTAAATCAAATATGCAATTATGTTCACATAGAATTAAGGTATAAAAATAATCTTTTCTTCGATCGTACTTAGACATTTTTAAAGGGCTGCCCTGAACATGGCATGCTTTTATAGAACAAGACACTTTGAGGTTGGAGGACACTAAGAATGCCTGATGCCCCTCTTCCAGGGCCTTCACACGCACAAGGGGGGCGGAGGAGGGAGTCCTAAGAATATCTCAGGTGATAAGAGCTCCAAAACAAACCAATCAATGCACAAAAACAACACATTACGGCACTTTTAAAGTAAGTTTCCCTAAAACAAGTTGGAATCAAATTCCTGACTGCAAAGTTAAGATTTTTCTGCTTACTTATTTATTCAGGTCTCTTAATTTTAATACAGTTTAAATAATCTCAGAAGGGTCGATATTGCCCACCACAACAGAGCAAGGGCAGTTGTTTATGCTTTGAAGTTTATCCACTGGCCTTAGGACTTTTGAATGCTCAAGTGAAGTGTAAATAGAATAAGGTCACAGATGATTGACAAGTTCAAGTTACTTAGCTCAATTATCAAAATTTTATTTCTAAATTATGTTCAATGTTATTTTCCTGCTTTGCTGTAAACGACCTTAGAAAATCCAATGGGAGTGAAGAATTTCCGCCATGTCCTATGCATCATGATTTATTTGTACAGCCATTCAATGATATATGCTTCCCTTAGTGCTTCTGTGGAGCCCAAGTCTTTGCTGTTCGCGTCAGAAACGTGGCTATCGTGCTAATTCCAAGGCATTCACTTCAAAGACACAACGATCACTAAATTTGGACAACTTTCTAAAGTATCTCTAATTCTAAACTGCAGACAGTTTAGAATCTAATTCTCTGGATATTGGCACGCTGTATGCAATGTCCACCTAATCAAACAATGGA